TCCACTCTCAAAAAAAAAAAAAAAAAAAAAAAAAAATCAATGGAAAAAAATATCCTCAGATGAGGATTAACAACAACAAAAAGGATAACAGGAGAAAATCTAGATGGCCTAGGGTTTGATGATAGCTTCTTAGATACAACATCAAAACCATGTTTCATAAAAGAGAAATATTGATAAGTTGGACTTCGTCAAAATTTAAAACTTTTCTTTTTTTTACTTTCAAATAAAAATATGAGAGAAGAAACAAATTACTAATATCAGAAAGGAACCAGGTGATAGTATAAAAACATTGAAGGCATGAAAAAGTTAATAAAAGAATACTACAAACAACTCTACACACAAAAATTTGACAATATAGAGGAAATGGATCAATTCCTTGAAAAGTGCACACTATCACAATTTATCCAATATGAAATAGATTAGATGAATTCATCATTAAAACTTCCTCCAGAAAGAAATTTACAAGCATTCAAAACCTACAGCTAACATCATACTCAGTGATGAAAAATAGAATTATTTTCCCTAGAGGTCAGGAACTAAGCAAGATGTCCATGCTGACCACCTTTATTCAATAAAGAACTGGAAGTTCTGGACAGCACAATAATGCAATAAAAGGAAATAAAAGATGTACATGATTGTCTGTGTAGCAAATCCCAAGGATTATACAAATACACTCCTAAAATAAGTGGATTCAGCAAGGTATCTGGATCCGAGATTAATATACAAAAATTAATTTTGTGCTATATAGTACAGATGAACATACTGAAACTGAAATTAAAGATATACTATCTGCAATCACCCTAAAATCAAGTACTTAAGTGTAAATCTTAACAATGCATGTACAGAACTTGTATGCTGAAAACTGAAAATCACAGAAGTTCTAAATAATGGGAAAACATTCCTGTGGTCATGGACTGGAAGGCTCAACATAGCAAAAATATATCTCCCAAACTGATACACAGGTTTAACATAATTCTTATAAAAGTTCCAGCAAGGCCCAGCCTGTGTGGTTCAGTGGTTGAGCATTGACCCATGAAACGGGAAGTCATGGTTCGATTCTTGGTGAGGGCACACGCCTGGGTTGTGGACTTGATCCCCAATAAGGGGTGTGCAAGAGGCAACCTATCGATGACTTGCTCATCATTGATGTTTCTCTCTCTCTGCTTCTTCCTTCCTCCCTCTGAAATCAAGAAAATCATATTTTTAAAAAAGTCCCAGCAAAATTTTTTATTGATGCAGATAATTCTAAAATTCATGTGGAAAGGAAATATGCTAGAAAAACTAAAAAATTTTGGCAAAAAAAAAGGTAGAAGAAATCCATCTACCTAATTTCATGATTATACAGCTACAGTAATCAAGACTGTGGTATTCAGAGGGGGTTAGGCATATAGATCAGTGGAACAGAATAGAGAACCCAGAAATCGCCCTGTACAAATATAGCCAGCTTAAGTTGATTATTTATTTATTTATTTATTTATTTATTTATTTATTTATTTATCCTGGCTGGAGGATATGTTTTTATTTA